TTGTAAATTTTCTTGTAATAATTTTTTTCTGTTGGCGCCCAACGAGGGCCAATTGCAAAAAATTGAAGTGGCGCCCAACGTGGGATTTTTTTTTTTTTGGAAATTACTTTAAGAATCTTTTTTAAGACTACATCGAACTGTGTGAAAATATTTATATTTAAAAATTAGTTCAAGCAAAGTGGCGCCCAACGTTTATCATCATCTACGAAAGGGAGACTTCCGTGAAATATAAAGGACATAAATAGGGGCAATTCGACGAATGTTGGGTAGAACAAATATTGAGGAGACTTTTAGAAAAATTTTTGAAAAATATGCCTTGGATTTCCTCTCTACCAAAAACTAAATCTGCCTTGAATTATAAAAAAATATATATTTATAACAAAATTTAAGTTGTTATTGGAACCGAAGAGTATAAGAAGGATTGTTTTTATAAATTCGTCAATATTTTTTTGAATTATTTTTTTTTATAAAATGTATTTTTTTCTCAATATTTACTAAATGCCTTAATATTTCTTCATGATATATTTTATTTATTTTTTTTTTAAATTATTTATTTAATTTTTTTATTGTTTACCTTATTAAAAAATTCAGCTAATTGAGTGTTGGTGTGTCCTCTGTGTGTTTTTGTGGGTGTAGTTGTGTGAAGTCTATTTTTTCTTGTTGTAGTTGTATTTATTTTTTAACGCTAATCTAGTTAGTTAATTAATTGTTGTCACTGTTGTTGTTGTTGTATGATGGTATGTATGATTAATTTTATATGTGAATATGATGAACTATTTATTTATTTTCTTGCTCTGCTGCAACTATTGTGAGGGGGAGTGTAATGGGGGGCGCAATTTAGTCTTACTACCATTTTTCTTGGAAATATTTTTTATTTTTTATAATTTTTTGAATTATGGTTTTTTTCATTATTTTTTTGGAAATATTTACAAAAAAAGTTTTTATTGTTGTGCTTAGCTTTTTTTATTTAGTTTAAAACTTTAATAATTTTTTTGTTTTGTTTTTTTTTTCTTCATTAGTTCGTTGGCAAAATTTTCAGTATAAGTTTTTCTTTCCTTTGTGTTAGGTATGAGTTACGTTATTCATCTTCCTTTCGTTCCTATATATATGTATGTATATATCCTAAAAAAATTATAGGTGCTATTCTCCAAAAACAAATAAAAATAATACTTCTACTCTACTTTAGAAAATCTCAAAAAACAAAATATCCTTAAAGTCCTTTTTTTTGTTATGTTTTCAATAAATATTTTTTTCTGCCTCATCTACTATTGGTACAAAAAACTATATTATTTTTCTCAGTGTATTTTAATTTCTGAATGTTTGTGTGAGTGTGTGTAAGTTTCGGCTTATGTTGTGTTGTTGTGTTAAGGGGGAAACAGTTTCAGACCCAATGTCCATAACTTGTAAACCTTTTGGGGTATTTGTTGTTGTAATTTTCATTTTTTTTTTTTGTAAATTTTTTTGTAATAATTTTCTGTTTTTCTTTTTTCTGTTAAGGTAAAGCATACGGTGTTCTAGTTCTGTTGTTGTTATTATTTTTAGTTTTATAATTTAATGTGGGTATTCGTTTTTTCTATTTTTTCGGTTTTTGAGAATTTTTTTTCTCTTCCATCCATCTCCCTCATTACCATCATAAGTTTTCGTTTTGTTTGAAAATTCCTTTTGTGTAACTTTTTTTATTTTATTTTACCAGCCATTAGCAGTTGCTTTTGTAGTTTCGTTTCTGGGGTTCTTGTTTTCTTGTGAGGAGGAGGATTGGGGCTTTTGTGGCCTTACCTTCATTTTTGTGCTGTGTGCAAAATTCATTGCCAATTTTGGAGTTTTTGTTTTTCAAGGCAACGAATTTTTACTTCCTTTGTGTGGCTAGTAGTCCTGGTAAGATATGGGAGGTTTGTTTTTGTTGTTGTTGTTGGTTTTTTTATATTTTTCATTATATTATTTGCAGAGTTTTAAGCGCTGGAAGAAAATTTGAAAAACATACAGGAAAAATTAGTATTAAATCTAAAATAATATATAATGGCGCCCAACGAGGCGTCAGGGTGGGAAAAGCGTAAATTTTTTAAAAATATTTTTTTCAAGGCTCTAAAAGAGAAGTAGATTTTTTTAAAAATATTTTTTTTCAAGGCTCTACAAGAGAAGCAGATTTTTTTTTAAAATATTTTTTCAAGGCTCTACAAGAAGAGTAGATTTTTTAAAAATATTTTTCAAGGCTCTACAAGCGTTGTATAGGCCTTGAAAAAAATTATTTAAAAAATCACGCGAAGTTTTTATTAAATTTTTTTTAGGCCTTGAAAAAAATTTTTTAAAAAATTCTACGAAGTAGATTTTTTTACGTAGGCCTTGAAAAAAAATATTTAAAAAATCCACGCCTTACGTAGGCCTTGAAAAAAATTATTTAAAAAATCCACGCCTTACGTAGGCCTTGAAAAAAATTATTTAAAAAATCCACGCCTTACGTAGGCCTTGAAAAAAATTATTTAAAAAATCCACGCCTTACGTAGGCCTTGAAAAAAATTATTTAAAAAATCCACGCCTTACGTAGGCCTTGAAAAAAATTATTTAAAAAATCCACGCCTTACGGTAGCCTCTTAAAAAAATTATGTAAAAAATCCACGCCTTACGTAGGTCTTGAAAAAAAAATTATTTAAAAAATCCACGCCTTACGTAGGCCTTGAAAAAAATTATTTAAAAAATCCACGCCTTACGTAGGCCTTGAACAAAATTATTTAAAAAATCCACGCCTTACCTAGGCCTTGAAAAAAATTATTTAAAGAATCCACGGCCTTGAAAACAATTATATAAAAAATCCACGCCTACGTAGACCTTGAAAAAAATTATTTAAAAAATCCACGCCTTACGTAGGCCTTGAAAAAAATTATTTAAAAAATCCACGCCTTACGTAGGCCTTGAAAAAAAAATTATTTAAACAAACCACGCCTACGTAGGCCTTAAAAAAATATTTAAAAAAATTCACGCCTACGTGGGCCTTAAAAAAATATTTAAAAAAATTCACGCCTACGTAGGCCTTGAAAAATTTATTAAAAAAATTCACGCCTACATAGGCCTTTAAAAAAATTATTAAAAAAATCCACGCTTAACGTAGGCCTTGAAAAAAAATATTTAAAAAATCCACGCTTTATATAGGCCTTGAAAAAATTATAAAAAAAATACACGCCTTATATATTTTTTATTAAATATTGAACTTTTAAATAATGGCGCCCAACGTGTCGGTCTGTCGATATTAAATTGTGAACAAAGTACAGGTCGCATTTATTATCCGAATAAGATGAAATTTGGCACAGCTCGTCTATTTGGCCCAAAGACGAACCCTATTGAAATTGGGAAAAATCGGTTGAGATTTCGATATAGCTCCCATATATATTTTCGTCCGAATGAAGGTAAATGGTGCACCATTGTCCCTACATATACCTCGATTTGCACGAAATTTGGCATAGCTAACTGAATTATGTCTAGAAGGATGTGTGTTAAATTTCGTGAAAATCGGTTAAGATTTCGATATAGTTCCCATATACATTTTCGTCCGATTTAAGGTAAACGGTGTACCAAATTCCCTTAATGTCTTTCGTTTTGCACGAAATTTGGCACAGCATAATGAATTGGGTCGAGAATTATGTGTGTTAAGTTTCGTGAAAATCGGTTGCGATTTAGATATAACTCCCATATATATTTCCGTCCGATGTAAGGTAAATGTGTAGCAAAGTCCTTATATATCTTTCGATTTGCACGAAATTTGGCACAGCATAATGAATAGGGTCTAGAACGATGTGTGTTAAATTTTGTGAAAATCGGTTGAGATTTATATATAGCTCCCATATATATGTTCGTCCGATTTAAGGAAAATGGTGCACCAAAGACCCTTTGTATCCTTCGATTTCCACTAAATTTGGTATAGCGTACTGCATTAAGTGTAGAACGATGTGTGTTAAATTTCGTGAAAATCGGTTAAGATTTCGATATAGTTCCCATATATATTTTTATAAATTATGGCGCCCAACGTGGGGTATTTTTTTTTCAAATAAATTCTTGATCTCAACTTACCTCAAATCCATTGGTTTCATCAATGATACCACAGCCTATTTGTTGTAGTTGTTGTTGGTTTTTGTTCATCTAGTTGTTGTTGTTGTTCGGGTGCATAATCATGATTTAATAACATATTTGTTGTATTTTTCGTTACTTCAAAATCATTAGCTCCATTAACAACAACATCATTATCACTTCCAGCAGCAGTATTCGCATCATCGTCATCATCATTCTCCTGGTTATCATCCCGCTCATCATCGTGATTTCCAAGGTGTTTTCCTACAGTTTTTTCTAAATTTTCTAAAGCTTTTTGTATACCCAATATTTCCAACGATGAGGGCATATAATAATCACTATCCTCATCTCCACGATCATCCATGGACATTAGACGATCAGCTGGAATTCCATTAGCACCATTTTCCGCCTCGTCATCATCATCATGATCGGCGGAATTCGGGTCTCTGGCCAGGGATAATTTGAGTACCTTTAAATCCTTAGCCTTCAGTGAATTGTGATAGAAAGCCTGGGGAGATTTACTGGCCGCTTTATTATTCTGCAGGGTATAACTGAAATGAGGCGATGGACCTAATGCTGAGCGGGATACTGCAGCGGGAGGAAATGGCTGTAGTTGATAGAAATTTTCCGGCTCTGTTTGCAGGGATGATGGCAGGTGTTTGGGGGTATTTAAAATACTGAGTCTTTTCATCGAATGCTGCTGCTGCTGCAGATGATGAGGATTGTTTAAATTCTTTGGATGGCCACCAAGGCCATTTTGCATTGTTGTTGTTGTTGTCGATGCTGTTCCGGAGGCTAATAATTTATTACTGTTACTGCTAAAATGATTGTTCTTATTGTTGTTATTGCTACCGCTACCGCTGCTGCTGCCACTACCAACTACTTGACTTTTCCTATTATTATTTATTAGAGTAGATGATGAAGTTGTTGTTGTTTTTGTTGTATTATTTGTTGCTGTACTACTACTATTGGCCATGCTATTATACTGCATGGCCTTCTGTTGGGTCTCAAACTAAAGATTATCTGGATAGCTGCGGAAATTATAGGTTCTGGCCCTTTGGAATTGCATTGTCTCAGCATTGTTGATATTGTTACCTCCAGAAACGCCCACTCCATTACCACCACCGCCAACCGTCGCCGTATTATATGGATTGATCATGGGTGCCGTTGACTGGGAATTCATTGTGCCCATATTGTCATCGTAGTTATGCTCATTACTCAGATTACTGCTGGCCTTACTGCTCATCGTATTGCTACCGCTGTGACCTTTAATGGGCTTAAATATGGCCGTTGTGGCATAATATTTTTCCATTGGTGGCGGTGGCACCTGTGGCGGCCTAGGGAATATACTGCTCAGTGGGGGTGGTGGGGTACGGCGGACATTAACATAACCGCCCGGTGTGGAATTGGACATTTTCGAGGGCATATAATCCTGCATGTGCGGTACAGCATAACCTCCTTCAGGAACATCTAAGTGGAAAGAGGGCGCACACACAAAACAAAAACGGAAAATTTTTGGAAGCAAGAAAACATAAAGAAAGAAAGGGGGAGAGAAAGAGACACAAAACAGGCCATTAAAACTTTGTTACATTTTTGGAGGGGAAAATAATTTTTTTGTGAACTCATCACTTAAGGTTTTATGGTCCCAAACCCTCACCATTTAATATTAAATAGTTGAGGTGGATTCCAGGCCATAATTTATGGTTGGAGTTCAAAAAAAGTCAAACTAAAGGAAATATTATTTTGTTGTTGTTGTTGCAGGAGAAACTCTCTTACCTGTATAGTCTGGCGTCATATTACATTGTAAATCATTAACAGCCGCATAGCCATTTACTCCGCTCGTGTACATATTTACATTAAAGGGTTCGTGGTAGAGGCTATTCTTGCCAATTGAGTCATTGTCATCAACGCTGGCCTATAGGAATAGAAAGGGGGTAAAGCAGGGAATTTAGTACAGAAGAAAAAAATAATTAAATAAACCATACAAATAAATTCGGTAGAGAGCCTAAATGGAGGTGAAGTTCTAAAAATAGCTCCCATATATAGTTTTGTCCGATTTTATGTAAATGGTGCATCAAAGTCCTTATATATCTTTCGATTTACACGAAATTTTGCATAGTGTACTGAATTTAGTCTAGAATGACGTGTGTCAAGTTTCGAGAAAATCTATGCAGATTTATATACAGCTCCCATATATACTTGCGTCCGATTTAAGGTAAATGGGGCATCGAAGGTCCTATATATCTTCCGATTTACACGAAATTTGGCATAGGGTACTGAAATAGGTCCAGAATGACTTGTGCCAATTTTCGAAAAAAATCGGATCAGATTTAGATATAGCTCCCATATATATTTTCGTCCGATTTTATGTAAATTGTCCCTATTTATCTTTCGATTTGCACGAAATTTGGCATAGCGTACTGAATTGCGACTAGAAATATATGTGTAAAATTTCTTGAAAATCGGTTCAGATTTAGATATAGCTCCCATATATATTTTAGTCCGATTTTGTGTAAATGGTGCACCAAAGTCACTATATATCTTTCGATTTGCACGAAATTTGGCACATCGTACTGAATTGCGTCTAGAATGGTGTGTCTTAAGTTTCCTGAAAATCGGTTCAGTTTTAGATATAGCTCCCATATATAGTTTCGTCCGATTTAAGGTAAATGGGGCACCAAAACACCTATATTTCTTTCGATTTGCTCGAAATTTGGCATAGGGTACTGACTTAGGTTCAGAATAATGTGTGCTAAGTTTCGTGAAAATCGGTTGAAATTTAGATATAGCTCCCATATATATTTTCGTCCGATTTTATGTAAATGGTGCCCCAAAGTCCCTATATATCTTTCGATTTGCACGAAATTTGGAATATGGTACTGCATTAGGCCCAGATTGATGTGTGCTTAGTTTCGTGAAAATCGGTTCAGATTTAGATATGGCTCCCATATATATTTTCGTCCGATTTTATGTAAATGGAGCACAAAAGTCCCCATATATCTTTCGATTTGCACGAAATTTGGTATAGCATAATGAATTAGGCCTAGCATGATGTGTGTTAAGTTTCCGGAAAATCGGTTCAGATTTAGATATAGCTGCCATATATATTTTCGTCCGATTTTATGTAAATGGTCCCTATTTATCTTTCGATTCGCACGAAATTCGGCATAGCGTACTGAATTGCGACTAGAATTATATGTGTAAAATTTCTTGAAAATCGGTTCAGATTTAGATATAGCTCCCATATATATTTTCGTCCGATTTTATGTAAATGGTGCACCAAATATATATATCTTTCGATTTGCACGAAATTTGGCATAGCGTACTAAATTAAGTCTAGAATTATGTGTGCTAATATTCGTGAATATCGGTTTAGATTTAGATATATCTCCCATATATATTTTCGTTCGATTTTAGGTAATTATTGCACCAAAGTTCCTGTATATCCTTTGATTCGCACGAAATTTGGCATAGTGTACTGAATTCGGTTTAGAATGGTGTGTGTTAAATTTTATGAAAATCGGTTCAAGATTTAGATATAGCTCCCATATATATTTTCGTCCGATTTAATGTAAATGGTGCACCAAAGTCCTTATATATCTTTCGATTTGCACGAAATTTGGCATAACGTACTGATGTGAGTATAGAATGATGTGTGTTAAGTTTCGTGAAAATCGGTTCAGATTTAGATATAGCTCCTATATATATTTTCATCCGATTTTATGTAAATTTTGCACCATCGTCCATATATATCCTTCGATTTACACGAAATTCGGCATAGCGTACTGAATTGCGTCTAGAATGTTGTGTGTTATGTTTCCGGAAAATCGGTTCAGATTTCTATATAGCTCCCACGTATACATATATATATGTATTCATCCGATTTTACATAAATGGTGCACCAAACTCCCAATGTGAGTTCGATTAACACGAAATTTTACACAACCTATGAAATTGAGACTTAAACGACATTATTGCGCTTTGTTGAAATCGGTGCAGATGCAGCCATAGCCTCCACATGGCTGTCGAACGGGTGTCTGATTGAGATTAAATTTTTCACAGTGCGACGCTCCGTTTTCCTAAATTTGTCTCATGGTACGCAGACGACTCTAAAACTGCCCAAATGAAATTAAATTTAGCATGGGTTGCGGAAAGGCATGAGTGTGTTGCTTCGCATATTGATATGCTATTGTAAGGATACATATGTACACGCAAAGTGTTGAAGGAAGGGTATCATATAGTTGGCCCAGTCCGACTTTACTACGCTCCTTACTGATTTAAAATATTTTTCTAAATTTTTAAAACCATTTTTTCAAATAGCCCAACTATTTTTTCAACTAGCGAACCTTTTCGTACTTTTTTTAAAAAAAAATATTTTTTCAAATAGCCGAATTAGGGGGATTTTTTCAGAATATTTTTTCAAGGCAATCATTTTCCGAACATTTAATTTTTTATTAAAAAATTAGCATATCATGTTTTTTTTAATCTCTTTTAACCTGCATCCTTTGCTGATACCATATCACTAGCCACCATTTGTTATTTTAGTTATTCCAAAATAATCCCTTGAAATATCCTTTTCCATCCTGAAACACCAAACTGTGAACAATTAAATACTTAACTCTGTTACTTTTTAACCTTCAAACTAAAACTTGGCTTCAGACCAACAACTTTAGCAAATTCATGGACAAAACAAAAAACCCACCAGACAAAATTCGCAAAAAAGGGAAACGGAAAAAAATCTTCCCAGAAAAAGGAACTGCATATTAGTCACTAAGTCCACCTCCAAAACTAGCTGACAGACTTGCGGATTTTATTTTTTTGGAAAAATCTCTGTATAATCTGTATTTTATTACTCGTTATGTCCTATTATTATTTGTTTTCTTGTTTTGGTTCATAGTTCCCGACCTCTCTGTGACCCTCTGCCGAATTTATACAATTTATTTTATTTTTGGTGTGTGTGTGTGTGCTTTTTTCTACTTACTTTAATTCCTGTGCCATTTGGTCGATGCTTATCAACATTGCCACCCAATGTATTTGGATTAAAACTATATTGGAATGCATCCAAAACATTGCTACCACGTGCCCTCTTCGTTCGGGATACAATAAATAATATGATTGCGACCAGCAGGATAATGATGGTAGTTAAGACGACAATAACAACGCCAATAAAATTCTCATCGGAGGGTTCTTGATCGATGGGTTTGGGTGCAATTACTAGAAAAAAGAGAAAGGAAAAAAATATAGAAAAAGTTAATAATTTACAGAAATTAAAATAAATATTTAAAAAAAAAATTTTTGAGGGTATTTCGAAGTGTGGAATTTGTTTTAAATATTTTTTTTAAGATTTTTTCGAATTGTGGAATATTTATACTCTTCACCAAACTGTGGTACAGGGTATTATGTCTTTGTGCATATGTCTGTAACAGGCAAAAGGAATCGAGATAGACCCATGGCTCCTTCTGAGAATATGCGTAGAATCACTTTCTGAGTCAAATTATGTATGTCCGTCCGTCCGTATGCCTGCCATGTTAAATTGTAAACAAAGTACAGGTCGCATTTATAAACCGATTTAAATGCAATTTGGCATAGGTCACTTATTTGGCCCAAGGATGACGCCTATTGAAATTGGAGAAAATCGGTTTAGATTTAGATATAGCTCCCATATATATTTTCGTCCGATTTTAGGTAAATGGTGTACCAAAGTCCCTATATATCTTTCGATTTGATCGAAACTTGTCACAGCGTAATAAATTAGGTCTAGAATGATGTGTGTTAAGTTTCGTGAAAATCGGTGCAGATTTAGATATAGCTCCCATATATAGCTTCACCCGATTTTAGGTAAATGGTGCAACAAAGTCCCTGAAAACAATTCAATTTGCTCGAATTTTGGCATAGCGTACTGAATTAGGTCTAGAATGACGTATGCCAAGTTTGGAGAAAATCGGTTCAGATTTAGATATAGCTCCCATATATAGCTTCACCCGATTTTAGGTAAATGCTGCACCAAAATCTCTAAAAATCATTCGATTTGCATGAAATTTCGCACAGCGTACTGAATTGAGTCTAGAATGATGTGTGTTAAGTTTCGTGAAAATCGGTTCAGATTTAGATATAGCTCCCATATATATTTTCGTCCGATTTAATGTAAATGGTGCGCCAAAGTCCCTGAAAATTATTCGATTTGCTCAATTTTTAGCAAAGCGTACTGAACTAAGTCTAGAATGATGTGTGCTAAGTTTCGTGAAAATCGGTTCAGATTTAGATATAGCTCACATATATATTTTCGTCCGATTTTATGTCAATGCTGCACCAAAGCCCCTGAAAATCATTCGATTTACACGAAATTCGGCACAGCGTAATGAATGAGGTCTAGAATGATGTGTGTTAAGTTTCCTGGAAATCGGTTCAGATTTAGATATAGCCCCGTCGTCCGATTTAGGGTAAATGGTGTACCAAAGTCCCTATATATCTATCTATCGATTTTCACGAAATTTGGCACAGCGTAATGAATTAGGTTTAGAATGACGTGTGCTAAGTTTCGTGAAAATCTGTTCAGATTTAGATATAGCTCCCATATATAGTTTTGCCCGATTTTAGGTTAAAGGTGCACCAAAGTCCCTGAAAATCATTCGATGTGCACGAATTTTGGCACAGCGTACTGAATTAAGTCTAGAATGATGTGTGCTAAGTTTCGTGAAAATCGATTCAGAATTTAGTATCGGTTGCAGAATGACATGTTTATGGATCCAATTTCATTTTACTGGTCCTTTAAAAATCCGATGTCTGTTGGGATCATCTGTTGAATATACCCAAATTGGTGAAGGGTATCATATAGTCCGCCCCGTCCGACTTTACTACTGGTTTAAGAATATTTTGTGTATGGAAAAAATTTCAAAGTGTGGAAATTTTTAAAAATATTTTGTGGTTAAATTTTTTTTGAAAATATTTTTTGAGGGTATTTCGAAGTGTGGAATATTTTTTTTAAATATTTTTTAAAGATTTTTCGATCGGTGGAATATTTTTAAATCATTTTCTTGGGATTTTTTTTCAATTTCTTAAATTTGTTTGGGAATTTCCCCAGCTTCATCTTTATTTCCTGGCCCTTTTAAATTTCAATTTTCTTAATGCCAAATACCACTCAAATCAAAGTTTGGAATGGAAAAAAATGCGGAGAATACTTACATTGTGGTCCATTATTATAGTTGCGTTCGCCATTAAGATTTGTTGTTGGCATTTTACCACCATTTTTATTATTATGATGATATTCATTACTTTGTAAAGGATATTCACGGGTATCCTGTGGCAATAAGGCGCCACGTTGCTCCTGTTCGTCTGTGAAATTTCCCACGGCTGGTACTGTTGTGGAGGCGATAGGATGATAGATAGATTTACACAAAAACGGAGGCATGAAAAGAAATGAAGAAAACAGAAATGAAATACAGATATTAAATATTAAGGATTTAAAAATTGTTTGGGATTTTTTTTATAAAATATTTATGAAAAGGACTCAAAAATAGATAAAATTGTTAAAAGAAATATTTTTTATTGCTTCCAAATTTAAAAAAATGAACTCTATTTCTATGCTTTAAAGTGAGAAAAAATAATATGGCACATGTCCTTTTGGTCCTGCAATCCTTTTGGTTCTTTGTTTCAATTGCTGCCTTTTGAGGCCCATACAAAATCTTAACACATCAACAAATTTCAACACATTTTTATATAATGTGTAAAATTATATAGACTCAATTTGTTCCAACATATCCTTGTGTTGTTCGCCTCAGTAAATTAAGGCCATTTTATAGGTTACTAAGTTCCCAAGAACCCTTTTAAATACACCTAGATTTTAATTCCCATAACAATAACAACCAACCACATAAAATAGAATATCTGAATAGAAATACCATTTTTGTCAAATACAAATGATTTCGAAATCATGAAATCGTAAAAGCCAAAAATTGAAAAGCCAAACAAAAGCTGCTGTCACACATCAGAACAACAAAAGGTAATACCGAAACAACAAATCACCACCAGCTGTGTTTTGTACCACACAAAAACAACAGGATGCACAACAACAACAACAACAAAAAAACTATATCTTTTTGTACCTTTTGTTTTTGATCAAAGGTGTTAGATTACAAATGCGTATATGTATATGTAAATACATATGTGGTGGTGATATATATATATATATATATATATCAGGTCACATAGGCAGACATATATATCAAGCATATATGGGTCACACAAAGTGACAGGGAAAAGAGAAAGCTTTAATAATGTTACCGTCTTTAATATTAAAACGTTGGGCGCCATTTTAATAAAAAAAAAAATTTCAAGACCTATATAAGGTGTGGATTTTTTTAAATAATTTTTTCCAACAACTATATAAGGCGTGGATTTTTTAAATAATTTTTTCCAACAACTATATAAGGCGTGGATTTTTTAAATAATAAATTTAAAACGTTGGGCGCCATTTTAATAAAAAAAAATCAAGACCTATCCAAGGCGTGGATTTTTTTAAATAATAAATTTAAAACGTTGGGCGCCACTTTAATAAAAAAAAATTCAAGACCTATACAAGGCGTGGATTTTTTTAAATAATAAATTTAAAACGTTGGGCGCCATTATAATAAAAAAATTCAAGACCTATACAAGGCGTGGATTTTTTTAAATAATAAATTTAAAACGTTGGGCGCCATTTTAATAAAAAAAATTCAAGACCTATACAAGGCGTGGATTTTTTTAAATAAAATTCAAGACCTATAAAAGGCGTGGATTTAAAAAAAAAAAAATCCAACAACTATATAAGGCGTGGATTTTTTAAAATAATTTTTTCCAACAACTATATAAAGCGTGGATTTTTTAAATAATAAATTTAAAACGTTGGGCGCCATTTTAATAAAAAAATTTCAAGACCTATACAAGGCGTGGATTTTTTTAAATAAAATTCAAGACCTATAAAAGGCGTGGATTTTTTAAATAATAAATTTAAAACGTTGGCGTATATTTTTTTAAAAAAAATTCAAGGCCTATACAAGGCGTGGATTTTTTAAATAATAAATTTAAAACGTTGGCGTGGATTTTAATAAAAAAATTCAAGACCTATACAAGGCGTGGATTTTTTTAAATACAATTCAAGACCTATAAAAGGCGTGTATTTATACCCTACACAACTATGTTGTCAGTGTATATATATTGGTCGTGGATTTTTTAAGTATAATTTTTCTCCAACTATATAAGTCGTGGATTTTTTAGACATTTGTGTCCGTCCGTCCGTCCGTCTGTCCATTATAATTTGTAAACACGATACAGGCCACAGTTTTGGACCAATCTTCACGAAATATTGCATGTAGGATGGATTTTTTAAAATGAAGACCCATATTGTTTTGGGAAAAGATCGGTTAATATTTAGGGGATGAAATGGACCAAATACTAAATTTTTGTTGGGTTTCTGGTCGCTCCAGATGCCGCAATTATGGCCCGAGCATCGTGAAATTTTGCATGGAGAAGGGGATCGGGCCAAAGAATAAGCATGCCTGTTTTGATAAAGATTTTTTTCAATAAATATATAAGGACCCTGACTTTTGTGTGAAAAATTTTTTCAAAATTATATATTCGTGGATTTTTTATATATTTACCCCAAATATATAGACCCGTGAAGTTTTTATATTATATCCAAGAGGATATTGACCTTTTTTTAAGACCAATTATATTGTCGTATGTGCTCGGATGTGGGAGTTACACCTAAATATTTACAGGTATCTCCGTATTCGTATATTATTTAGTAACCCATTATCACTCTAGAGAGCAGAACTATAACGATATATCGCTTTGAAATGTTCCATAAGCTTCCAATATATAAGGACAACGCCTTTTTATAATTTTCGGTGATGATAGATAATAATTTTGGAATGATGTGGACCGAAAACTATAATTTTTTATGTTATTTTCGAGTCGATATATAGACCACAAATGAAAGCCGAACATCACAACACAACCCACGGTGAAGGGAATCTGGACGGAATAAACATCCGCAGAAAATTTGAGATCCGCAGTAGTTGTGTAGGGTATCGTATGGTCGGCCCCATCCGACTATACTGCTCCGCTCACTGGTTTTTAAATAATTTTTTCCAACAAATATATAAGGCGTGGATTTTTTAAATAATTTTTTCCAACAAATATATAAGGCGTGGATTTTTTAAATAATTTTTTCCAACAAATATATAAGGCGTGGATTTTTTAAATAATTTTTTCCAACAAATATATAAGGCGTGGATTTTTTAAATAATTTTTTCCAACAAATATATAAGGCGTGGATTTTTTAAATAATTTTTTCCAACAAATATATAAGGCGTGGATTTTTTAAATAATTTTTTTTCAAGACCTGGATTTTTTTTCAAGACCTGGATTTTTTTTCAAGACCAGGATTTTTTTTCAAGACCTGGATTTTTTTTGAACGTGGATGCAGGCGGTTGAACATGTATTATGAGGTCAGCCCATTTTCTTGTGTCTTGTATGCATCATCCTCCCCTACCCCTCCTCCTCAGCCTCAGCCTCCACCTCGCCCTCCTCTTCTCTTTCGACTTATGATCATTATGGCCATATTCCAATATCTATTGAAATCTCTTACGGGAAAACTGTCTTGGCATTTAGTTTAGATAGCCTCTTTATTGGTGAGGAGGATGGATGGATGGGGGTATTCGATTTCAATTTCATTGAAAAATGATGCAGTACCATATAATGATAATAATAAAAACGTTTATTTTACCATTGGACAGTTTTATTGACTTCTTATTCTGCTCAGATGACAATGGTCGCGTGCTACCAAATCCGACCACTCCACCCGCCGTCATCATCATCACTTTACTTGATTCTTGGAGGAAGCACTGAGAAGAGTAGTCGTATTATCATCATCTTTATTTGTTGTCCTTTATGGCTATCAGTACGGACTCAAATTCGTGATATCAGAATATCTGAATGTGTCTATGTGTGTGTGTGTGTGTGACAAAAGGGGCCGTTTGCTGCAACCCCAACCAACCAATCGATTCAATTGTCCATTCATCTGTTCACTCGTTTCGTTCGATTCGATTCGTTTCATTTCGTCTCATCTGATTTCATTCTTTTGATATCTTCTCTTCTCGGGCTGTTGCTGTGCCTGTCTGCCAGCCAGCCTGCCTGTGAATCGATTTCATTGTAAGTAGGGCTGTGTGTGTGTTTTTTCCTTGCATTTGAATTGTGTCCTTTTGTGTTGAAGTATTCCAAATGTCACTGGCCATTGTTGATAATCGAACGAACACAACAGTCGAACTCAAGCCGGGCAGCAACAACAACAATCAAATAAACGAATGAGTGGAAAAAAATCGCATCGAAATCGAAATGCATGAAATCTCAGGCGTATAGCAGCAGTAGATCTAAAGGGAGAACTGGTCTGGCCGGACCGAGAGGGTGGGTGGGGAATTAACCCAGCATTTCTGCTACCATATATCCCTTGATGATGACGACAATGACGGCGACAACAACGAACGTTTCAAATGCATTCGATTTCATGTTACAAAAGATGAATAACGACGGACTATGTCATTGTTGAGGAATCGGATTTTTTTCGTTTGCCTGATCTCTGAGGAGGAGTGTAGCATGGGGGGGGGTCTGTGGGTATTGTATGCAAAAATGCATTTTCAAGTGTTTGACACTTGAAAGTGAAATGAAGCTGAAAATGATTTTCCAAGCACAATGTATTCCGACTTCTCTTCCTCTACCATTCCCCCGAGTACTGATTTCTTTTGTACAAATCTAAATTTTCTTTTTAAGTTTCGATTTTTCTTCAGATTTTTTTCGTCTCCTTCTTCATCATCGCTTGCTGTCAATCATTTAGATCAATGGATTTTTTTTTATACAAAAAACATTTTCTCCATGGAAATCATGGAGATGGGGAAAAAAACTTTATGCAAATGTAGTCAAGAAAAAAATAAAAAAAAAAAAATGGAAAATCTGAAAAATAACCAAAATTTAGGTTACGGAGAAGAAAGTGGCGCCCAACATAAACCTCAATAACTTTAATAAAGTGTGAAAAAATATATTTTTGGATTCCTAATTCAAGTAGTATTTACAAGCCAACTTTTAGGGCATTTAGACCAAATATGGATATTTTTTGAACATTTCATACGTTTTATACATATTGTCATAAATGTCGTAAAATCCCCTTAAATCATTACATTATGAAAAAATAATAATCCTGCTTTAGTATATAGTTCATTAACAAAAATTTTAGTTTTTCGACAATTTTTACACACATCATACATTTTATACAATTTGTCGTAAACCTAGAAAAATTCAATTTAATGATGATTTTTAGACAACAAGTAATTTTAGAGTTTTTCGACAATTTTTACACATCATACTTTTTATACAATTTGTCGTAAACCTAGAAAAATTTAATTTAATGATGATTTTAAGACAACAAGTAATTTTAGAGCATAGATTAATGTTAAAGTACCATTTGAAAATATAAATTTTGAAGTGTTTACGACATTTTTGACAATGCGTATAAAACCTTAAAATCATAAAAATGGTTATTTAGTTAAATTTATTTTTGAATTTTTGGGTGTTTTAGTATTTAGCTAAATAAAAAATATTTTATATTTTGTGTTGCCATCATTTACATTTTATACGTTTTATACATTTTGTCGGAAACCTGGAAAAGGCAAATCTTATGCTGAATTGTGAACAGCAATCCATTTGAAAGTATATATTATTAGTAATGTACCATTTAAAATCCTACAAATTTAAATTTATAATGGTTTACGACATTTTTGACAATGTGTAAAAAATATATAGAGTAATAAATGAAATATTTAATATATAGAATATTTTATAAATGCGTCATTTAACACTATTGCATTATAAAAATTGGGAAAATATACATTTTTACTTGTATACGACATTTTTGACAATGTGTAAAAAACCTGAAAATCATGAAAAGTTTTGTGTACTTAAATGTATTTGTTAATTTCTCGATTAAAGTTAAATAAAAATTACTTTTATTGTTTAATTTGTACTCAAATATGGTTTACGACGTTTTCGACAAAATTGTAAAAAAACTTAAAATCATTGAAAGTCAATCTTATGAATGAAATTTAATTGTGTATCAATTAAAAAAGTAAAATACGACGATTTCTGAAATGTGAAATGGTCGTATTTTACTATTTATAGTGGTTTACGACATTTTTGACAATGTGTATAAAACCTTAAGAACAGAAAATTGTTATATACATAAATTGATTATTGATATTTTAGTATACAACTTAATTGAAAAGTGCACTATTTTTGTAAAAATTCTTCCTAGCCATGGTTTACGACATTTTTGACAAATTGTCGGAATCCTCAAAATCATAAAAATTCAATTTTTTGAATGAAATTTTATGCTATAACACAAAAACTAGTAAAATTTGAGCATTTTTTTAATGTGAAAATATAATTTTTTGGTGGTCAACGACATTTTGTGACAATGTGTAGAAAACCTCAAAACTATGAAATAGTTTATATACTTTAATTAAATTTTGCATTTTTGAATAAAGCTGAATACAAAAATTCAATTTTTTTTATTAAATGTCTTCCTTAAAATAGTTTACGACATTTTTGACAAAATTGTCGAAAACCTCAAAATCATAAAAATTAAAAATTTTCAATGAAATTTAATGCCATATTACTGAAAATTGTAAAATTGGTACATTATTAGGGTTTTTACACTTTGTCAAAAGTGTCGTAAACCTATTTTTATGTAAAATTTGAATAAAATTATTAACTGAAATAATTTTTTCTAATTTTTTCTGTTATAAATTTATTCCAAAAAAGTAAAATTTGAGTATTTTTAAATTTTTTACAAATTGTCGAAAATGTCGTAAACCTATTTTTTGTAAAATTTTAATAATATTATGTACTAAAATAATTGTTTAGGATTTTATCTGTTATAATTTTATTTGAAAGAAGTAAAATTTCAGCATTTTTAAATTTTTTACAAATTGTCGAAAATGTCGTAAACCTATTTTTATGTATAATTTTAATAAAATTATTTACTAAAATAATTTTTTTATGGTTTTATCTGTTATGAAATTATTACAAGCTGTCGTAAATTGTTAGAAAATGACTTAAATTGTGAAAATCGACATTTTTTACAAATTGTCAAAAATGTCGTAAACGAATCTTTGTGTAAAATTTGAATAATATTATTGAGAAAAATAAGTTGTTATGATTTTAACAGTTAGAAACTTTTTAGGAAATCATAAACTGTCTGAAAAAAATATTTTTCCTGGGAGAAAGGAAGCATTTCAGGCATTCCATCCCTGGCAGCCTTGAGATTCCACTGCGTTCAATAATACATTTGCCTCTTGGCTGCATTCTATTAGTCTGCCATTGATTTCTATCACCCCGTTCCCAAATGATAATAATTTCACAGCTACATTTGTAAAGGATACTCTTCGAGAAGGAGAAGAAGAATGCCAATGAAGGAATGTTTTTCGAAAAATTTTAACGGCCATATCTTCGAAGGTTATTTACAAAGTAAATAGCTTTAATTGCTTACTTGCTTGTGGAGGAATGAAAAAAACCGAGACTAGGAATTTCTTTGAAGATAGACGTCTCTCTCCCCATTAACACAACAAAACCACAAAATATTTCTTCCTAGAGGCGGGCAGGAAGAAAGGCTTTAAAAATCGCTCATACCATTACCTCTCGACCCCTCCTCCTTCCTCTCCCCTGAACTTAAAACTTTAATTGTTTATCTATGAATGCTTTTGAAAGCACTTTTCACATTCACATTGACACACACACACACACACTCGCAATCTGGCATAACAAAACTTTCTGACACTTTGCAACCCCTTGAAAATTCTGAAGTGGTCCCCCCTCCACTTCGGGACTATTCAATACAATTCCCTTTTCCTGTTGTTTAAATGGCTTTATTGAAAATTGTCCTCGGGTTTTTTAAAGCAGCGGTTATTTAATGTGCGTAATTATGGCATTTCCTTATTAATAATAAATCATAGCCGGGATAACAAGGGAGGAGAAGTAGAAGAAGCGAAAAAAATAGCAGGCGTTAAAAATTCCTTTTTTTCTTCTTCTTCTTTGTTTGCCATTGATGTTAAGTGGTTAATGGCAGGACCCTTTAAAATACGATTCTCAATTGTTTTTACTTGAACTTTTGTTCTGTTAGGACATTGTTTTGGAATTTAAAACAAAGGAGTGGAGTTTAAAACGCAATTGCGTGATTTTGAGATTTAATAAAAAAATCTGGAGGACAATGGAAAGGATTTCCGAAAAAAAAGATTTTTTTGGGTCTGCTATTAATTCTGGGAATAATGGCTGATAAATAAAAAAATGAATGGATTTATTTTTTCTTTCATATAATAGAAAGGATATAGAAAAAATTAAGGATATCGAGAAAAATTAAAAAAGGACATTTTCTCCAAGAAAATAAAACTCAACCCAAATATCCCCATTATCCAATTAAATAAAATTTTGACTTCCCTAAAATTCAAATTCCAATTTTTTATCCTTTCCCTTTGAATCCTTTTTTATTAAAAAATATTTTCTTTTTTATTTTTAATTATTGTTGTTATTGACTTCTTACCTGACACAAAGGATATTTCCGATAGCATTATCCATTTAACAGCAAAATATAAATTGATTTTCAAATATTTGCCAACACGATGATGAAGCTTTATGGTGACATCACGGGCATGATCCATTATCGTATCGGGCATATAGGAGAAATGGACAGGTTCACCGGAAAAGTGTCTACCACCAATGCTAAAGAAGACTTTAGCATGGACAAAGACCTGAAAGGAAATTAACAAACAAAAAAAATGTTAGGATTTGAAAAAAATATATAAAAATATTAATTTTAAAATAGGCGTGGATTTTTTTAAAAAATATTTTTTGAAGGCCTATTTTTAACAGTCAGAATTCTTATACCCTACACAACTATGTTGTCAGGGTATCATAGCTTTGTGCAGCCCCAAGAGTTTGTAACGCCGCGAAATATTGGTCCTAGACCCACCTTTAAGTATCTCGACTAGCTGAGTCGATCTAGACATGTGTGTCCGTCCGTCCGTCTGTCCATTATAATTTGTAAAGACGCTACAGGCCACAGTTATGGACCACTCTTCGCGAAATTTTGCATGTAGGATGGGTTCTGGTCAATGAAGACCCCTATTGTTTTTAAAGGTAAAGGTCGGTTTATATTTAGGGAATGATTTTCTGGTCTCTCCAGAGGCCGCATTTATGGCCCAAACTTCGCGAATTTTTACATGGAGAAGGGGCCAAGAATAAGCATGCCTGTTATCATAAAGATCGCCCATAATTTAGCGGGTCAAATGGACCCTGACTTTTGTGTAAAAAATGACAAAATTTGTATTATATGCCGTATATATTTACTCCTCAAGGACATCGAGCCGAGAAGTTGAATAGTCTATCCAAGAGGAGTGGTTGGCCTTCAAATGGATACCAATTACAATGTCGTATGTACTCGGAGGTGGAAGTTACACGTAAATATTTACGGGTGCTTACGTATTTTGATATTATTTAGTAAACCATTATTCCACTAGAGGGGGAAAATATAGCGCTGATCGCTTTGAAATGTTCCATGAGAATCCAGGTATGGTCAAGGACAACACCTTTAATTTTCGATGATGATCAGATAAGAATTTTTGGGATGAAGTGGACTGAAAACATAATTTTTGTGTGTGTTTGATTTCGAGTCGATCTACAATTATAAGCCGAACATCACAACACAATCTACGGTGAAGGGAAGATGGACAAATTATTAGAAGGCCTGTACTGAATAATGGGAATATTCGGATAATACTACAGTGTAAGGAAGAGGTGCTGTTGACCTCTAATCGGGCAAGGGGATACAACTATCACGAAATATTACCCAGGCTTTGAATAAAAATCCGCAGAGTTGGCCCCGTCCGACTATACTGCTCCGCTCACTGGTTTTTATACCCTTCATCACACTGTGGTACAGGATATTATGTATTTGTGCATATGTTTGTAACAGGCAAAAGGAAACGAGATAGGCCCATGGTTAATTTTGAGAATATGCATAGAATCACGTTCTGAGTCTATTTATGCTTGCCCGCCCGTCCGTCCGTCTGTATGTTCATGTTAAATTGTAAACAAAGTACAGGTCGCATTTATAATCCGAATTGGATGAAATCTGGCATAGGTCACTTACTGGGCCCAAGGACAAACCCTATTCAAATTGGGAAAAATCGGTTCATATTTAGATATAGCTCCCATATATATTTTCGTCCGATTTAATGAAAACGGTACCTATATATCTTTCGATTTGCACGAAATTTGGCAAAGCGTAATGAATTAAGTCTAGAAAGATGTGTGCTAAGTTTCGTGGAAATCGGTTCAGATGTAGACATAGCTACCATATATATTTTCGTCCGATTTAAGGTAAATGGTGCTGCAAAGTCCCTATATACCTTTCGATTTGAACGAAATTTAGCACAGCGGAATGAATTAGGCCTAAAATGACGTACGTGAAGTTTCGTGAAAATCGGTTCAGATCTAGATATATCTCCCATTTATATTTTCGTCCGATTTAAGGTAAATGGTACACCAAAATCCCTATATACCTTTCGATTTGCACGAAATTTGGCACATCGTAAAGAATTAGGTCTAGTATGATGTGTGTCAAGTTTCCTGAAAATCGGTTGAGATTTAGATATAGCTCCCATATATATTTTCGACCGATTTAAGGTAAATGGTGTACCAAAGTCCCTATATATCTTTCGATTTGCACGAAATTTGGCATAGCGTACAGAATTGAGTCTATAATGATGTGTGCTAAGTTACGTAAAAATCGGTTCAGATTTATATATAGCTCCCATATATATTTTCGTCCGATTTAAGGTAAATGGTACACAAAAGTCCCTATATATCATTCGATTTGCACGAAAATTGACATATCGTACTGAATTAGGCCTAGAATGACGTACGTGATTTTTTTTTTAATATTTTTAGAATTTAGAAAATTTTGTATTTTGTTTTTGCAATTTTTAAATTTTTTTTTAAAAATAATATTTATTTGCAGGTTCAAAATTTTTTTTAATATTCTGAGAATTTCTAATTTTTTTTTTTTAATATCCAAAAAAAAATATTTTTTTTTTAATTTCCTGCAACTCACCTGAACATCCTTGGTAAACATATTGTTTGTATGTAAAATAATGGCGCTGAAGTTACGCACGGTATCGAATTCGAAAACAATTTCAACAGGTTTGCCCATTAGACCAGGGGTATCATTGCGCCAGCCGATCCATTCATAGCCTAAAAATAAAAAATAAGAGAGAAAAAAATTATTAGATAAATACCAAACTATAAAAAAAATTATTCAAATTTTTTTTTAATTAAATATATAATTCAAAATATTTTTTCTTAAATAAAATATGAAAGTGTATTAAAAAAAACTTTCAGTAAAACATTTCAACAAACAATTACAGCTGTTAACCCGGCCAAAAAGGAACCAACTAAAATTCACCATAATTGCTGTATAATGGCAATACACTGGCCAAGGCAAATAATTCGTGGCAAAGTATATATGTATACGAGTGTGTGTTTGTGTGTATGTGTGAGTGTGGAGCTAAAGTAAATGGTTAAATTTGTCAACCTTATAACTTTTGGTTCTCTCACCCTTCGCATCAACTAAAGTCTTAAATAACCAACAAAGGGACCATAGTTTAACTGGTCCTAGAATAGGCTGACAGCCAACCAACAGGGGAGAGAGGAGAAGGCTAGCAGCACAAAAAAGGTTAAAATGTCGCGTTCTTAAGGTAATAATTTTTGTTGGCGCTTTTGTTTTACAAGCCAACACACACAGAGAGAAGGTAGCTCCACTTGCTCCCCCAACCCCTCGCTCGGAGAGCAACAATAATAACGTCAACAGCATGAAAACATAAACTGAAGGTTGTACGAAATTTTTTCACGAATAACAAAACCAAAAACAAAAAAAGAAAAACTAGTGCACACTGCACAAACCAACAACAACAACAATAACTATGTTAAAGACATAAATTTCCCCAACTAGGTAGCTATGTAGACCTGGGCCGAGGGTTTAAGCGTAACTTTTGGCTTGGCCTGCCTATATACGTGTGTGTGTGTATAGACTGCCTTTCAATGCGAGCGACATTGTCGTAATAATTTGTATGCGTGTTTTGGTATGTGTGACTGTGTGTGTCGGCATGTCAACATTTTACAAGGATAAAGGAATTCTTTTAACAATCATCCTTATTGCGCACACATACAAACACACCCACACAAATTATTATTCGATGTAAGAGAGTGTGTGTGTTTGTGTTTTGTATTTTTACTGCTGGTGCGTGTTTGAAATTACTTTAGCCTTTCACAAAATTCGCCCGTTCTTTTTCCCCCTTTTGGTAAGGAAATTACATGCTCATGCTGCACACACATACACACAAAGAGTGTGGAATTATTTTTGTGTGTATATTAAAATAAATAAATAAAAAAATTTAGTCGCTACCGAAAAAAAATTGAAGGAATTTTCCATAGTTTCATTGTTGAGGAATTTTTTTGAAATATTTTCAGAAGGCCTGCTTGTCTTCTAATTTTGAGATTTTTTTAAAATATTTTTCATGTTTTTTAAAATATTTTTTCAAGGCATAGATTTTTTAAAAAATATTTTATATATTTTTATACCCTATACAACTATGTTGTCAGGGTATTATAGCTTAGTGCGGCCCCATGAGTTTGTAACGCCTAGACCCACCTTCAAGTATACCGATCGTCATATCTCGACTAGCTGAGTCGATCTAGACATGTGTGTCCGTTCGTCCGTCCGTCCGTCTGTCCATTATAATTTGTAAATACGATATGGACCAATCTTCACGAAATTTTGCATGTAGGATGGGTTCTGGCCAATGAAGACCCCTATTGTTTTAGATAAAGATCGGTTAATATTTAGGGAATGAAATGGACCAAATACTAAATTTTGTCGGATTTTTGTTTTTTTTTTGTCGGTCGCAAATATGGCCCGAACATCGTGAAACTTTGCGCGGAGTAGGGGATTGGGCCAATGAATGAGCATGTCTGTTTTGATAAATATCGGTCAATATTTAGCGGATCAAATGGACCCTTGACTTTTGTGTGACAAATTACAAAATTTGTATTCTATGGCGAATGTATTTACTCCCGAAGGACATAGACCCGAGAAGTTAATAGTATATCCAAGAGAAGTGGTTGACCTTTAAATTGATTTCAATTACATTGTCGTATGTACTCGGATGTGGGAGTTACACTTAAATATTTACAGGCGCTTGCGTATTCAGATATTATTTAGTAACCCATTACCACACTAGAGGGCGGAAATTTAGCTCTGATCGCTTTGATATTTTCCATGAGGATCCATGTATGGCCTAGGACAACGCCTATAAATTTTGGTGATGATCACATAATAAATTTGGGATGAACTGGATCGAGAACTTAATGGAAAGCCGAACATCGCAACACAACCCCCTGTGAAAGGAATATGACCAAGAAATTAGAAGGGTTGTACTGAATATTAGTTATATTGGTAGACCTCTAATCGGTCAAGAGTGTGCAAATATCGCGAAACATTGCCCAAGCTCAGAATATAGAATCACAGAAAGTTAGATTTTCGTGGAAGTTGTGTAGAGTATCATATGGTCGGCCCCGTCCGACTATACTTCTCCGCTCACTGGTTTTAATTACTTAAATCTTTTTCCTGTATTTTTTTATCTCCTTTAAATTTTCCCTGAACTTCCTTATTTTCTACCGAAGTAGGCCTTTGAAATATTTTCCCCTCGCCCATCATTTTAAACACTTAACGCGTTGTCATTACCCGTCCTTACCCCTTTTGCCATCATTATTATTGGACAAAAAATCTGCCATTAGACCATCTTCATTTTCTTATTAACAACGAATTTTATTTGACAAATGTCTAAGCAGCCAAGACCAACAGCAAGTCCACAACCCTCCTCACCCCTTAACCAGATTATACATTCAATACTTTTTGTCCTTGGAATCCTTGTTGGCAAATGTTGTTGTTGTCATTTTGTTTGCTTGCTTACGCCCTGTCATCTGTCTACTTTTCGAATAATATTTCAGTTGTTTATTTGGCAAAAATTCACAATCACAAGACAGAAAATATTTACCAGGGAGATTTTCGTTTCTTTTTTTTTCGGGGGGGAAATTAAAAAAGTTTCATCGATAAGGAAAGAAAAGGATGAGGAAAAAACACTGAATGGACGAGGCAAAAAGAAAATAAATAATTTCCTCATCAATAAACACGGACGGCACAGACACATTTTATAAATAATTTTTTTCGGGGAGATGGTGGGGTTCCCTCTGATAAAAATTTTTGTTGGCGAACTTCAAAAATATGAACAATAACCAAAAATGAAGTTGGTTTTTTTGTGTTTAGGTTTTCAATATTCTCCTACCATTTTGGGGGGAATTTCTTTGTTTTGCTGGAATTGTATAGCCACAAAATTTAAGCAGACAATCCATAAAGCAAATGCTAAATGGCCAGGCTGGCAGACAGACAGACCGGGAGACAGACAGACAGACAGACATACTGCAAAATATTTAGCATTAATGGCCATGTATGCATGTCTGTCTCTTTGTCTAACTGACTGCATAGTCCAACCATAAATAGTATGCATAGTTTTTCCCCCTTCCCCATTTTGGTTGCAAAAAAAAATTTAATAATTTATGGCAACACTGGCATTCAATTCACCAAGCAAGCCAGCCATCTACAAAACAGAAGGTCGCTTACAAGTTGCTGCTCAGCCCAGTCTAGAATTACCCATACATATTGACTAACTTCCGCCCAGCAAAAATAAATTTCCCTATAGAGCCGAAATATGGGGGCAAGGGACGAAGAAAGGGAACCCCTTGGGTAACTAAGGTGGGGTGGGAGAAAGTAAAATAAATGTATGCGTGTGTAAGTTATTTTGGTTATATGATTTTCATTTCCATTTCGTTTTGTAGTTTTGTGACGTATTCTGTTACTCTGGAGAGTTTATTTCTCTACCCTCCACTACCAATCCGCCAGGAAGATGAGGTCAGGCGTCCCCCAAACATTTCAAACAGGAAGAAAACTGAAATGAATGTTTATGTGCAAGCAAACACCAATACTGAGGGGGCTCAAAAGAGTGAGGAGAGAAGGAAAGAGAGGGAGAAGGGAGAGAGCGGAAATGAAAGAGAGGGTGAACCGGGGAGCAAAACTTCATCGATTTCATTTGGCATTGTGCCAATAATCAAAAATTATTGTAAACTTTACATTTTAAGTAGAAAAGTTTCCCAGTTTCGTTGTTGTTGTTGCTTTTGCTTCCTGCTTCCAACAACAACATTTCAATGTTGTTGTTGCTATCCTCGAATTGCTGCTACTTACTTCATTCATTCGCTCGTTTTCATTGAATATTCCATGAGTACATGAGAAGAATCAAAGTTGGAATAGTTAAGTTTTATTTCAGGACTTTTTCTATTTTTTGGTTGTTTATTTGCAACAACAACAACGAACTGAAAGGATAAATTGTATCCTTGTTTGTCTGCAAACTGTTAAATTAGTCTGAATGTCTGGATATTTTATTTTCTGTATTTTATTTTTTTTTAGTTTCCCTGTGAAGCATTGATTTGCTGCGGGGTTTTTTATTTCGAAGTGAAATGGAAGAGTTAGGGGTGAGGAAAGGATAGAAAAACATTTAAGGATTTAATTTATAAAAACCCGGTAAGGAAAGTTGTAAAGTCGGACGGGGCCGACTATATGATACCCTTCACCACATTGGGTATATTCAACAGATGAATAATAACAGACGTCGCATTTTTAAAAGGACCAGTAAAATGAAACTGGAACCATAAAAATTTCATTCTGCAACCGATACTAAATTTTGCATTTGACCAGATATAGAAGCTATATCTAAATCTGAACCGATTTTCAAGAAATTTAAGGCACACTGTATACCTAATTTACCTAAAATCGGACGAAAATATATATGGGAGCTATATCCAAATCTGAACCGATTTTCAGGAAACTTAGGACACATCATTGTAGACCTAATTCATTACGCTGTGCCAAATTTCTTGAAAATCGAATGATATATAGGGACTTTGGTGCACAATTTACCTAAAATCGGACGAAAATATATATGGGAGCTATATCTAAATCTGGACCGATTTTCAGGAAACTTAACAGACATCATTCTAGGCCTAATTCATTACGCTGTGCCAAATTTCGTGCAAATCGAAGGATATATAGGGACTTTGGTACAATATTTACCTTAAATCGAACGAAAATAAATATATGGAGCTATATCTAAATCTGAACCGATTTTCAGGAAATTTAACACACATTGTTTTAGATTTAATTCAGGACGTTATGCCAAATTTCGTGCAAATCGAAAGATAAATAGGGACTTTGGTACAACATTTACCTTAAATCGGACGAAAATATATATGGGAGCTATATCCAAATCTGAACCGATTTTCAGGAAACTTAGGACACATCATTGTAGACCTAATTTATTACGCTGTGCCAAATTTCTTGAAAATCGAATGATATATAGGGACTTTGGTGCACAATTTACCTAAAATCGGACGAAAATATATATGGGAGCTATATCTAAATCTGGACCGATTTTCAGGAAACTTAACAGACATCATTCTAGGCCTAATTCATTACGCTGTGCCAAATTTCGTGCAAATCGAAGGATATATAGGGACTTTGGTACAATATTTACCTTAAATCGAACGAAAATAAATATATGGAGCTATATCTAAATCTGAACCGATTTTCAGGAAATTTAACACACATTGTTTTAGATTTAATTCAGGACGTTATGCCAAATTTCGTGCAAATCGAAAGATAAATAGGGACTTTGGTACAACATTTACCTTAAATCGGACGAAAATATATATGGGAGCTATATCTAAATCTGATCCGATTTTCATGAAACTTAACACACATCATGCTAGGCCAAATTCAGTACGCTGCGCCAAATTTCGTGTAAATCGAATGATATATAGGGACTTTGGTACAACATTTTCGTCGATTTTAGGTGAAAATCGACGAAAATATATATGGGAGCTATATCTAAATCTAAACCGATTTTTCCCAATTTCGTTTCCTTTTGCCTGTTACAATCATATGCACAAAGACATAATACCCTGCATCACAGTGTGGTAAAGGGTACAAATATTTTTTTAAAAAATCTACACCTTGTTAAAAAAGAAATCGACAGAACATATCACCTAATTCCGATCCTTATATAAACCTCCTCTAATTGTTATATAACACATGCCGTTATTTATATATATAAGTTGTTGTTTTTTTTATTATATAGGCAACCAAAAATTTTGAAATTTTTGTTGTTGTTGTTGTTGATATTAAATAAAAAACTTTTTCTATTTATTTACTTAGTTTTGTTGGGTATGGCAATCATATGCCATTAATCATATCAATTAGGCAGGGAGTTCGGTCAAAGTTTGCCATTTTTCTGTGACAAGGACAAAATGTATTAAACATGCAAAATCATGATTTGTATCCAAATGGAAGCAAACAAACAAATTTAGATATTATCTACTGGCTAAAGGGCAAAGAAAATAAAAATTGTCACAAATTTAAGGGAAAATGGAGGGGGAAACCTTGAAGCAATTTTTTTGGTTACATGACATGAGGTACAAAATTAAAAAAAAAATAGGAAGAAAACATTTTTTTCCAAACCCAAACGAGGCGTGAATTTATTAATTTTTTTTTTTCATAGACCTACACAAGTCGTAGATTTTTTAAATAATTTTTTCCAACACCTGCACAAGGCTTATATTAATTAAATAATTTTTTCCAAGGCCTATATAAGGCGTAGATTTTTTAAATAATTTTTTCCAAGGCCTACACAGGGCGTATATTTTTTAAATAATTTTTTCCAAGGCCTATATAAGGCGTAGATTTTTTAAATAATTTTTTCCAAGGCCTACACAGGGCGTATATTTTTTAAATAATTTTTTCCAAGGCCTATATAAGGCGTAGATTTTTTAAATAATTTTTTCCAAGGCCTACACAGGGCGTAGATTTTTTAAATAATTTTTTCCAAGGCCTATATAAGGCGTAGATTTTTTAAATAATTTTTTCCAAGGCCTATATAAGGCTTAGATTTTTGAAATAATTTTTTCCAAGGCCTATATAAGGCGTAGATTTTTTAAATAATTTTTTCCAAGGCCTATATAAGGCGTGATTTTTTAAATAATTTTTTCCAAGATTTTTTAAAAAATTTTTTCCAAGGCCTATATAAAGCGTAGATTTTTTAAATAATTTTTTCCAAGGCCTATATAAGGCGTAGATTTTTTAAATAATTTTTTCCAAGGCGTAGATTTTTTAAATAATTTTTTCCAAGGCCCAACAAGGCGTAGATTTTTTAAATAATTTTTCCCAAGGCCCAACAAGGCGTAGAGTTTTTAAATAATTTTTTCCAAGGCGTAGATTTTTTAAATAATTTTTCCCAAGGCCTATATAAGGCGTAGATTTTTTAAAGAATTTTTTGGGAGGCCTATATAAGGCGTAGATTTTTTAAAGAATTTTTTTGGGAGGCCTATATAAGGCGCAGATTTTTTAAATAATTTTTTCCAAGGCCCACCTATATACGGCGTGGAATTTTTAAATAATTTTTTTATTTTATTTATTTTTATTTATATTCCCGTGTTATATTTGTACTCACCTTTACCGAAACCATGAATATCGGTGCGGAAATTATCCTTGCCCTTTTGGCCATCGACCAATTGACCCAGTCCATCAACATAACGATCACCCTGTTCAGTGCCATCATAGGTTTTGTCCGATAAATCGACTTCCATGCCACGTTGTACGCCCTTGGGTATGCTATACGAAACAATGCCCTCTGAAAAAGACAAAAAACAACAACAACATTAATACAAATTAATTACAATGGAAATTACGCACTTCGAGATATATATAAATATTCATTTCAGAACAAATTTAAAATAATTTAATACAGGAAATCTATTAAATAAATACAGCGACACAAAACTCCTTGACAATTCAGTTCCCCGGGGTATTCGAAAAGGAAGGAAGTTTTTTTCTCTCTCTTTTTGGTTTGAATATTTTTTTATTCTTTTCTGATGTTGTTTTTTTTTTTTTTGTATTCAGTGTTCGGTAATTTGAGTCGTGTCGTTTCTAATTTGAACATATGTTCTATGACATTCAAATTTTCGTCCATTACGTAGACAAAGACAAATGACAAATAGCCGGAGGAGGATGAGTTTTGAGTATTTCGTATTCAAAGTTTTAGAAGTTTTGTATAATTTTTGTTATTTCCTTTTTTGTGGGATTCTATACTCCAATCCCTTTTTTTTGGAATATTTTACTTTAATTTAGTTAAACATTTGTTGTTTAGTTGTTGTGGTATCATATTACCAAAAAAGCCACTACTACTGCTGTTAGTTCTGCTGTTGCTGCTCCTCTTAGTCATTTCCCCCCGTTTGAAGCCTCCAGGGAGTTTTTTTTTTGTTTAAAGTGGGTTTTTTTTGTTTCCCTCTGTTAAACGAAATATGATCTGCTGCCGAACCTTTTGAAATAAATATATTTCAATGTCATTTTTGAAATTTAATTTCAATTAAATTTTTTATTTGAAATAAAATATCCCGACATAGAAAAGAGGATAATATCAAGGAATGATTCACGAGTTGTTTTGTGGAGAGAGGCATTTTTTGAAATAAGTAGCCTTTACAAAAATTTCTATATAAGAACGTTGAAAAAATATTTTTTAAGGCTCTATATAAGGCGTGGATTTTTGAAAAACGTTTTTCCGGGATCTACACAAGGCATAGATTTTGTAAAAAAAAATATAAAAGGCGTGGCATTTTTTTTTTTTTTTTTTTTTTTTTTTGAAATAGGGAGCCTTTATCTATATAAGAGCCTTAAAAAAAATATTTTTAAGGCTCTATATAAGGCGTGGATTTTTTAAAAAATTTTTTTCCGGGATCTACACAAGGCATAGGTTTTAAAAAAATATATATAAAAGGCGTGGCATTTTTTTTTTTTTTTTTTTTTTTTTTTGAAATAGGGAGCCTTAATAAAAGGCTCTATATAAGAACCTTGAAAAAATATTTTTGAAGGCTCTATATAAGTCGTGAATTTTTTAAAAACTTTTTTCCGGGATCTACACAAGGCATAGATTTTGTAAAAAAATATATAAAAGGCGTGGATTTTTTAAAAGTTTTTTTTTTCCGGGATCTACATATTTTTTTCTCCTAAATCAACCATAATTTGTCAGCTATTTAGGCTGCACATGTATGGATGTGTGAGTGTGCCTGTGTGTTTGTGTGTGTCTGTTTATCCCATGTAGAAACCAATGAATTTTCAAAATTTTATTTCACCACAACAACAACACATATATCCTTTTAAATGCGATTTTATTATTCAGTGTGTCACCTGAATATATATCCTGATATGCAAAATGTGATCGTATGTGTGTGTGTGTTAGCGGTACCACCTACATTTGTGTGTATGTGTGTGTGCGTGTATTACGCTTGTTATTGTGGGCGTATAATGTAATTGTGTCGTTGTTGTTGCTGTGTGGTGGCATTTTTAAAGGATTTATTATTAGTTTTTCATTTACATGTAAATGGAGGAGGCAAGGCACACCAACACACAACATAAACACAAACACACACACACAAAGAAATAATTGTCTTTACACATATTAATGCATTGTTTAATGAGTAAATGTATACCGTGGTTATGTTTAGCAAGGCCTGTGTGTAACATAATTATCGTAATTACATGCGTGTTTTCGTGTTGTTGTTGCTGCTGCTGTTGTTGCTATTATTTTCAAAAATTATCCTTGTTGTATTGTTTTGAAAACAATACCCAATTGTTTTTTGTGTGTGGAGAACAAAAGGGACGTCTCGTGGTAAATATATATACATATATATATATAAGAGAATAGATAAAAACCCATCAATATATAGACATATGAATTTAATTGCATTTGTAATGGTTTTCTAAATGATAATTCATGTCGGTATATATATATATGTATGTATATATATATATATGTATATATGTATATATATACTTGTGGGTGTATGTGTAAACACCACGTGTCCGTATAATTAAATTGAAATGGGAATCATTGTTAAATGTTTATCGAATTACAATAATATTTACTACCATCGTTTTGTAATATTTATTATTCGAATATAATGGAATCCTGGCACACACACACACAAACATATTTAGGTTTGTGTATATATGAGTGTGTACACATACATCTAACAATAGTAATAATAATAATAATTGCATATGTTTGTAATATTCTCTCGGAGTAGGAAATAATTTATGAGGAAAAACAATGTTTAATGTAATTAAGGGATATTAACTAATTATAGGTTGGACAGGACAGAACTTAACAAAACATAATTACTTCTGGAGAAAATATTGTATTACTTGGCCTTAAAAAACATATAGAAAAAGTTCAAGTCTTGCATAGAGCTTTGAATAAATATTTATGTAGATCCCAAAAAAAAAAAAAAAAAAAAATTAAAAAAAAATTAAAAAAAATAAAGAAAAATAAAAAAATTAAAAAAAATTAAAAAAAAACCTTCGCCTGCATCTTGAATATATCATTCCTAGGAAAACCTTCCATACTGGCATTTTCCATTATCCTTTTGTTCAACACCTGACAATTACTAGCAATTAAATAATTCCCAAACCAGTAAGGAAAGTAGTAAAGTCGGACTGGGCCGACTATATATGATACCCTTCACCACTTTGGGTATATTCTACATATGTATCCTAACAGACGTAGCGTGTTTGTTGTATATATATATATATATGTATATTTATATAGCCGAACCGATTTCCGGGAAACTTGCCAGAGCCAAATTTACATTACTTCAGTACGTTGTGTCAATCGGCCTAGCAACATCATTCTAGACTTAATTCAGTACCATATACCTAAATTCGTGCAAATCGAAAGATATATAGGGACTTTGGTGCCCCTAATTACATAAAATTGTACGAAAATATATTTGGGAGCTACATCTAAATCTAAACCGATTTTCACCAAACTTGACAGACATCATTCTAGCCTCAATTCAGTACGTTATACCAAATTTCGTACAAATCGCCTTATATATAGGGTCTTTGGTGCACCAATTACCTAAAATCGGATGAATATATATATGGGAGCTATATCTAAATCTGAACCGATTATCACGAAACTTTGCACACACCATTCTAGACTTAAGTCAATATGCTATGCCAAAATTTGAACAAATCAAAACATTTCCTGCGATTTTAGTGAACTATTTACCTAAAATCGGGCGAAGCTACAAATGGGAGCTATATCAAAATCTGAACCGATTTTCACACAATTTGGCAGACATCATTCTAGACCTTATTCACTACGCTGTGCCAAATTTCGAGCAAATCGATAGATATATAGAGACTTTGGTACGCCATTTTTATTAAATCGGACGACAATATATATGGGAGCTATATCTAAATCTTAACCGATTTTCACGAAACTTTGCACACATCATTCTAGATCTTATTCTTTACGCTGTGCCAAATTTCGTCCAAATCGAAAGATATATAGGTACTTTGGTGCCTATATCGGACAAAAATATATATGGGAGCTATATCTAAATCTGAACCTATTTTTCCCAATTTCAATAGGGTTCGTCCTTGGGCCAAATAAGTGAGCTGTGCCAAATTTCATACAACTCGGGTCATAACTAACTGAACTTTGTTTACAATTTAACATCTACAGACGGACGGACGGACAGACGGACGGACGGACGGACGGACGGACGAACATGTATAAATCGATTTAGAAAGTGATTCCATGCATATTCTCAAAAGGAACCATTGGTCTATCACGATTATTTTTGCATGTTACAAACATATGCACACAGACATAATACCCTGTGTGTTGAAGGGTAGAAAAAATGTTTAAAAACATTTTCATTCTCTCTCTGTGCACTGCTATTTTAAACTTATATTCAATAATAATTCTTGCACAATTTTAAAAATATTTGTTGTAATAAAAATTTGTTCCTCACCACATAATTTTCCTAATTGCTGTTATTTGTATTTTTTTGAGGTTTTTCCAATATCCGTTTTTTTCCGCCCCCTTTACCACTCTTCTATCACTAATTATTCTGTAATTTACTAATGTCGAACTACCAACTGTCACTAACACACACATGCACTCACATAGCCATGCATTATTAATGTTGGATGTCCTTTTCGTTGGACACTCTACCTCCTAAAGACCATGTCTCATTCTGTCACTTCTTCTCTCTCTCTCTCTCTCTCACCCTGTGATAGAAGTTTTGATAGTAGAAATTATTTGTTTGTAATTATTTTGACATCATTAACCAAATCATATGACATTTCCATATGACTGGTGTGTTTGTATGACTATCTGTCAGTTGTGTGTCCCCAATCATCATCATCATCACCATACAAAATGACAACCAAGCTCTCATGTGGTTTTATCATCAGGATAACTATTACTACAACACCAACAACAAACACCACTGCTACTATCATTATTGTTATTATCATTAATTTGATATCTCTCCTGTCTGTCTGTCTCTTCGATGTAATTGTAGTAGATAATTTTATACAAAAGTTTGTTAGTCCCTTTGTGAGTGTATATGTATGTATGTGTGTGTGTGTGTGTGTGTTTGTATATGTGGTAAACAATTATGGTTTATAATTTAATGAATAATTAAAATGGATAGAAAATTGAAAATCAATGGAAACTATTCTACGAAAGTTTCATTTTTCAAAGTGATATTAGATGACTGGCAACGATGAGGGGTGGGGGAGGGGGGGAGGGGCATGTTGAGGAGATGCTTTTGAATTTATTTAATTGCTA